CGGATGTCAGGCGCTGGGTGGCGGCGGGGAGCAGTGAGCGGACGCGCGTGCGACGCGGGGAGACCTCCCCGGAGGTGAGCGCCCTGCTGCGGACGAGAGCGGGCGAGGGCCCGCGCCCCGCAGCTGGGGACAGGGCGGGGGCCGGAGTCGCGGGGACCGAGCTGCCTGCGGCCTCCGGCGCCTCTCTCGCTCCAGGGGCGTCCCGGGCTGTTTTCAGCTCCTCTCCCTGCGCCGGGCGTGCCATCTCTGGACCGCGCTCTCTGCCCCTGGGGGTCCCTGGGCAGCGTTGCGGGGGGTCCCTCGTTTGGGGTAGAGGAGGGGGAGCATGTGGATACCTTGGGCCCTGCAGACTGGACACAAGGAAACCCCACTTTGAGGAGTCACTTGCACCTTTACCTTGGAACAGTCTTATCAGACAGGTTTTCACTTTGTCCCCGCCCCCCGGAAAGGGGCAGGTGGCTTCACTGTCTCGCGTAGAAGAGGGAGGTGGCGACCTCCAGCAGGCCCATGGAAATCCCAGAAAGTTCCTGAGCTGCTCGACGAAAGGCCTAGAAACCCCCACCCCACAGCACCAGGGAGGGCAGCCTGGCAGAGGGTCCGAGATTAATACTGTAGGCTTTTATGTTTAAAGAAATCTGCCTGGGAAGATGTGAGCAGCGGCCCTGGAAAACCAGAGCCGGGGCGGCATTTTCTGCCGCGAGGGTGGGTCTGTGACCCCCCTGGGGGTGAGAGCTGCCCCGGAAGCCTGCTGAGGCCGGCGGGAGTGAGGATTGCTGGCGGCGCTTTCTCCCTGCGGGGATTAGCTATGTAGTCACCCCGTGTCGAACACACCTGTCCACCCCATGACCCACTTCTGAGCAATGATCTGGTCACTGCCAGGCCCTCTTGGACGTCAGGGCCATCTGGGATGCGTTCTCTCCTCTCCGGCAGAGGGCATTAGTGGTGACGTGCTGATGCCAGGTGCTGCTGCCCAGGGGAGCAGCCAGGCCCTGGCCAGACGTGCGGTCGGATCACTTTTCCCCACATCGACTCAGCCGGTCTGAGCTCTGACAAGTCTGTCCAAGGTCTCCTGGACTTCCTGACTTGCATCACCTGAGGTCTTGAGGGCAGAAGACGGTGGCCAGGCATAGCGATCTGCTAGTTCAAAGAAGCCAGCCAGTGTGGGCTGGAGAAGGCAGAGAGGGCGTCAGAGCGGCTTGGTCTTAAGCGGAACATGGAGTGACAGGCAGGGCCAGGGAGAGGAAGGAAGTCCGAGGCTAATAGGAAGCTCGAAACCAGCCAACAGCTGCCCACCCCCCCGGATGCAGTCCAAATACCCTGCCTCCCCTTCCGGCTCCTGCCCTGTCTTCTGTCCCGGCCATGCTGATGTTCCGTGAGGTTCTGACCAGGTCTCTTCTGCATGCCTCTTTCTCTTTCCGCATGCTCTTCGGTGCCAGAATGCTGTTGGAGTAAAAAACCCTCTCCGTTCTTAAGAAGCATCTCAAATGGCATCTTCTTCACAGAAGACTTCCTGGCTGCCCACCCCGACCCCCAACCCCTCACCCCTCCCCGGTCTTCAAGCAGAGCTGGGGAGTTCCTTCTTTGCTCTCCTTTGCTCCTTGCATGAGCCTCCACTGAAGCTCTTACACCCTGAATTGCCCGTTGGAGTTGAGGGGTCTCTCAACTAAAGGGGTCCCTCGCTAAAGCAGGGCCGTGTGTCACTCATCTTGCAAAAGTTGGGGGCTGGGACGTAGCAGGCATTCGGTAAATGATTCTTCATTGAAAGTCAGCCATGTACGAGGCACAGGGAGGCAGCCTCCGTGAGGGAAGCTCCCATAGGGAAGCCAGATCTCATGGGATCAAAGAGAGGCCGGTCGATGGGCAGTGGGGACGTGGGTGGAGCCTTTCGACTTCATGTCTGAGGAATTTGGCCATGAAAGAAAGGACAGATTATCTCTCTGCGAGAAGGGAGGAGTGAGTGTGTCAAGAGATGTTTTTGTTTGTTTTATGACAAGAGAGATCTGACCACAGTGGAAGGCCGGAGAGAAGGAGCCCATTTATGCTAAAGGATTTGGATGAAAGCCCCCCTTCCACGTCGATTGTATTTCGTGTAAACCTCCGTCCTGTCTTCTTTCCCCTGCAAATGTCCCAGAGAACTTTCATTTTGGGTAATCGCCAAAGTCGCCCTAACGCTAAATCCAATCAGAGGATGTGGCAATGCTGCCATGATTGGGTCTCACCTCCCTGGCCTGTGGTAAACTTGTCCCCAAACTTGACTTCACAGTGGTGCTGGCCAGACGTTTCTCAGCTCCTGCACTCACATATAACACCCATCATAACGGCACACGAACAGCGTTTACTCTGAGCCGGACACTGTGCCGGGTACCCGTGAGGTGCGTGTTGTTGTTATTCTTATTTTTCAGATGCCAAAAAGCAAGCCCGTGCCTTACTGTAGATCAATGTTCATGTTCCTGACACTGCAACAAGATTCACAGTCCTGGCACCGCTGGCCGCATGACTCGTCCGAGGTCACCAAACCAGCGACCCATCTGCACCCAGTTTCATTGTGGGTTAGATGGGCTTTAATAGTCAATAAGTGATTTGATAGTCGACAAATAATCCACTATGTGAGGCATTGCAAGGGACCACAAAATAAGGCTACATGTCTCTCTCTCCTCATGGGGTCTTCAGAAAGAACCACTTGTTTTGTAGTCTGGAAAAGTGGGCCAGCGTTGGAGCCCGGACAGCCCCGGTGAAGGCAGAGGCTGCAGCCGCCCTCGGCCCTGAGTCTGTGTGAACTGAGACTCCTCCCTGTGCTCTGCTTCCAGGTACACGCTGTCCCCGGCGCACGATGGTTCGACCTACGAGTTTCTGACTTTACGATGGTGCCAAAGCGATACCCATACGGCTGCCCCGTTTTCTCTCTTTCAATACAGTGAAAGCGAAATGATCGATAATGACGTGAGATATTCAACACTTTATTATAAAATAAGCCTTGTGTTAGATGATTCTGCCCAACGGCCTCCTAATGTAAGAGTTCTGAGCCCGTCTCAGGTAGGCTAGGTCGAGCTATGGTGTTCAACAGGTGTATTAAATGTATTTTCAACGGAAGGTGTTGTTCATTTACGATGGGATTATAGGGGTGTAATCCCACTGTAAGTCGAGGAGCATCTGTAGTTCTAAGACTAACGTTTTATTTTCTTCCCTAACATGCAGAATGAATGGTGCGAGAGTATGAATCTCTACCATGCTCGGGTGATTTCTTCTCTCGATATCAACTTAATATTCGTTGGGAGCCTTTGTCTCATCAAGAATAGAAACCACCCCTTGGTTTTGCCATAACTTCCGGGTGTTACCCATGGTCAAGACCGTGGGGTAGAGGTGGGGGTGATCCTGCTCGGGTGACCACCGAGCATGAGCCCACTCCTTGGTCTCCGTGGCTTCTAGACCACACAGCCAACCTCTGGGGTCCTGCCAGGGACTGTCCTCCGGGGACCCACAGACCTATCCTCCCCTCCTCTTTCTTCCAAGCCTCTCTGCTTCTCGCCACTACCTCCTCTCCTCTCTGTGCCTCCAGGAAAAGCCTGTATGTCCTTGACCTAAGGCCATGTTCAGAAAATCAAAGCCAGAAGAACCTGCAAGCTACTTCTGGGTCCAGTCCTGCCTCGTACATGGCTTGGGGCAATGATGTGGGGAGACTACTAGAGATGTGGGGGTGGGCGGAGCTGCAGGGGGCGCTGTGAAGTTCTCTCTCCTCAAAATATTATCTGGCCCTAGAAGCCATCCCCTCTGAGAGTAAATCCTTAGGGGGCAGAGAAGGTGCTATTTAAGGCCAGGATATATATGGATCTGTTTTACTTATTCGTTTTACTGGTACATCAATAATATTATTTTCCACTAGATATTTTCCAGATCCTCTATAAGAGGCTCGCACATTTGCCAAAAGGGGTGGTGAACGTTCCACTCCAAGGACTGTGCCCTGGTCTGTGATTGATGTCATGACACAATTGCTGCCATTATACACAGGCCAAGGGAAGTTGAACTTGTCAGAGACGCCCAGATGACAGCCACGGTCGGGGGGAGACTAGGACACGGGTCTCCCCTCTCCCATCCCTGTGCTTCTGCCAGGATCTCACACATCCTGGAAGTTGCCGCCCACACGAAGTTGGAGCCAAGTCTCTGACCGCCTCCACTGGGAACTCAGAATGGAGCACGGCCACCCTGGGCAGCCTGCCCAGGGCAGGTTCCACAACGTGGGCACGTGTCGAGGACGTGTGCTTCCAGCAGGGGTGTGGCTCCCAGCCCCCGCCAGTCCCTGCTCACGGCCCCCGTGGCCCCGCAGAGGGAAGCATCTTTTCTCCCCTGCACCTTGCAGGCAGGGAGAGCCTGGCCCTCTCCTGGTGGCCTGACTGCCTCTCTCCTCTCCCTCACCCGAACCGGGGGGTGTCTCCGCCACTGGCAGAGCGCACCTGACTTTATCTGCCTGCGGAAGTTTCTCTTGAGGCTTTTGCTAGCCCCGCACAGACTCCAGATCCCACCCAGGATGGTTCTCAAATGTTTCGTAATCTCTCTTCACATTTCCATTCTCTGGAAATGTCCCAGGGATCATAGTTTAATAAGGGTTTTCTTCCCAGTGTCCCACCCATCCAGCTGTTTCCAGTTTGCGTCACAATCCAAATGATTTTTGCTGCTCTTCGCAGACTGTCTGGGTCGTGACTGTCAGGGCCTGTAATCCCGGCTCTCCTCTGCTCCTGCTCCTGCCTGACCTTGCGGTCGCCCACCTTTCCTGGCGTTGGCTTTGCTCATCGACACGCCAGCTTTCGCTGAGTTGCATTCAAGGAGGCTGTCGGAGCCTCAGGTGACGTTTTCTCATTGAGGACATTAGTGCCGCCTGAACCTGAGGACAGGTAGAGATGTGGAAATCCTTGGTGAGCTGTCTTTTCCCAAGGATTTCGAATGTGTTTCGCTAGCTGTTTTTAATAAGCGCTTGGATGGAATGATGTCCATTAGACGCTTTAAAACCGTTTTTAATGAGCAGACGGAGAGAAGCCATCCTGTACCTAAACCATCTGGGTTTGCAACACACTGTCTAGAATATCAGCGCCTCTGAATGCTGCTGGTTTGGTTGTATTGTGGTTTTGAGGGTCCATCGCCTGACGATGTTAAAGAGGATAGGGGAGCTTTTACAGAATTTTTCGGGAGTGCAGAAAAGAAAACACTGGATCACCCCAGCATATTGAGAAATTCCATTTCCTTTTCTCACTGGCCCCTTCAGTGGTTTCTAAAAGGAATACGTTTCTGGTGAGGTGCAGTTGGATAAAGGATGTCTGTCTACTTAAGCAAGCAAGAAATCATGGAGGATTATGCATCAATAGCTGATTCTCTGGTTCGGGCCCTGGAGTGTCCTCAGCAGCCACTGCTGATGCTTCCTGGGGGAAAGTAAAACTCATTGTCGCTGCCCTATGTATGATTAAGCTGATGCTGAGAGAGGTTAAGCACGTGCTCAAGGTCACACGTCTGTTAAATTGCGGAGCTAGGATTTGAATCCAGCTACGAAAAAAATCCAAATTGTGTACACTGCAAAAACAGATACAGCCTCAAAGGGCTCGTGGGGGTGGGGGTGGGTAATTCCTTCTAAGGTGCAGGCTCAGGAAGAAGAGGCATCACTGTCCGGCTTTGAAATTCAGTAGCGATGCCTCTCCCTGTGCCTTGGGAATGGCCGGCCCACCAGGCGCACCTTTGTGCGTTCTGACTGTAAGCGAGGCGAACTTCCCAGCCGAGCTTAGCTTAGGGAGGCTGGCGGCCTCCACACCCCCAGCTCAGCGTGTCCTGCGGGCTCCTCTTCCCCGTCTCTGCCCTTGGTGCGCCCCTTGCTGGTCTCCAGGGGAAGCGCCTGTCCTGGGATCAGAAATTGCACCCAAGCTCCCATTTCCATAGCTCCAAGTAAAACGAGGTGATGTGTCAAGAAGCCTCAGAAGCCTCAAATGAATCTTCTTCAAGGAATCATCTGACGCCTCACCCTCTAGGGCTGAGAAAAAGGTGACCGTATTAACACGGCCCTCTTTCCAAAGTGATCATGCCGTATCTTGGTCACACGCACTTCATTTCCAGGAAAACGGGGCAGCCCGAATAGTGAGCAGTGATGCAGATAACAGGTCACTTAAGTCCTTCCACTCAAATTGTGGTCAATGAATCAGCATCAGCATCATCTGGAGGCTTGTTAGAAATGCAGGATCCCAGGTCCCGGCCCAGCCGACTGAATCAGAATCTGCATTTCAGCAAGATCTCCAGGTGCTTCATATGCAAAGCACCCTTTGAGGCTCTGTATCTGTTTCATGGCATATTCAATTTTGATTTTTTTTGAAAGATCAAAATGACAACTAAGTTTGCAGGTGGATTCAAGTCCTACTTTCACAATTTAGTAGATGCGTGACCGTAGGCAAATGCTTACCCTCTCTGACCATCAGTGTAATCATCTATAAAATAATGGAAAGCATTAGAAGTCAGTTCAACTTTCACTGCCCTTCTCATCCTAAATCTGAGACCTGGCAATTATCCCGTGTCTCCTAACTCAGCCATCATTTACCCCGATGTACTGCTTAGAAATGTCACATTCTGATAGCGAGCTTAGCTGTTTTTCCCTAGAAACTTGCAAGTTCTTTGCTCACGGTGGCTTGTCCTCACTCTTGTGCTTGAGTTCCCGGTAAATGACTACAGATATGTCATGAACGGGACTTCTAAGTTCAAGGGAGATGCTTCCTTGAAGTAAATCACCACTGCAGTGATTTAATAAGGATGGACTGGATTATGAAGTGCAGGGTTTTCCTTCCTGGAGTTACAGGGAAGAAAGGCTGAGCGTCTGGCTTAGATACCCACCTTCCGAACCACAGGCTGGGCCTCAGATTGCTCAAGATCCCTTCACTTCTGAGGTTCCATGTGCTCTGGTTGACAATATGGCCTTGACATTTTCTAATTAGAATTCTACTCAAGAAGAGACATAGCTAAAGTTTTAAATTCTTCTACAAAGAAAATTGCTGAATGGCATAGAAAAATATTTTCTGTTTCTCTCTCTTACTTGGCTTTCCTGTGCTCCTTTAGGAAAACAAAAGCCCTTTCTCCTGAGTCACTGAAAAATCACTGACCACCATCATGTCTGAGATGAAGTTTCTGGTGTCAGGAACTGAAGTCCTTAAACAACCAGGGGACCCGTGCCCATAGAGTAAGAAGAACATATCAGAAGCTCCTTGTGGTAGAACTGGGAGGTAAGTACCCCGATGAAAACAAATCTTCAAAATACTGATGAGGAAACAAGTACCAACTTCCAGTTATAAAATAAGTCATGGGGATGTAAGGTAGAGCATAGGGTGACATATAGGAACTAAACTTATCGTGGTGATGGCTTTGCAAGGTATAGAGATGTTGAATCACTGTGTTGTACACCTGAAACTTTTATAATATTGTACATCAACTACAATTAAAAAGAAATTTTAAAAATAAACGAAATGATTACAAAAAATATTATTGGGGTGCTTACGTCGTGCTGTGTACTTAAGGGTCTCTGCCCTCACAAAATTTACAATCCTGGGGGAAGGCACAAAATAACAAAAATGCTCTCATGGAGATGCAGACAGAATATCAAGGCAGGGAGAGATAAAGTGTGCCTGTGGCCATATGAGAACTGATTCGTGGAAGAGCCTGGCCTCTGAGACAGGCTTTGAAGGGTGAGTTGGAATTGCATAAGCAGATGAGACAAATACCAGCGTTCAAGCCCGGGGACCGGCCTAAGCAGAGAAATCGAATGGAAGCCAATTGTGAGACAGCAAACTGCTCCTGGAGCACAGGGCGAGACTGTAGATACAGTCAGGAGCGTAGGTCGGCTTGACTCCCCCGCTGTTAAATGAGAAGGTCAGGTGCTAAGGGCCCTCTCTCGTGAACCATTCCAGGACGAGGTGGTAGGGCACGGTGGGGGCCCTGAACTCTTATGCCCTGAAGAGAAGAGTCCGACCTTCGTGGGCAGAGGGAGCCAGCAAGGCCTCTGCTCAGAGCAGTGCTCTGCATGCCCCGCTGCGTAGCCGAGTGGGAGAAACGTGTGTCGGGATAGGATGGACCGGGCTGGATCGGCTAGGAGGTCACTGCAGTGGCCCAGGCAGGATGCAGTGGGGCTGGGGGCCGGGCAGCAGCACAAACTTGGAAAGGAAGGGATCCAGTGCTGGCGGTGTCCCCAGGCCGGCTTCACAGAGTCGGCCACCAACCGCATTGATGTCGTGCTTGAAGCTTCTTCCGGTGGGGAATTAAGGAGACCAGTGGGATGTTTGAATAATGTATATATACGCTGAAGATGGAAACGAGGGTCCATACCCCAAGACGAGGACGAGGCAAGGCTGGACCAGTTAGAAAGTCCTCCGGGAGGCTGCGGCCCCGAAGGCTCTGGCTTTGGGGGAAACGGCGTAGATGTCCACAAGGATGTTTCAAGGTGTGTCCAGATAAGGACAAAGAAGGAAGGGACAAGGTCACTCTCAGAAGACGATGGTGCAATACCAGCAGTGACACTCCCTGAAGGAGGAAAGGGAGCCCCGGGTAGGAGGGAAGAAAGCAGGTGAGGGGGGCTGCCTGGAAGGGCCCAGACTCCCGCCGAGACCAGTGCATGCCAGGCGCTCTGCGCACCCTCAGACTAGCCCTCAGCACCCAGCCGTCGGCTCTGCAGGGCCACGGACAGGGCGGGAGGACCCAGGGGCCGGATATCATGAGCTCGTCCATTCACGTCCTAGATGCCGGCAAGGTGGCCGTGACCCACAGAGAACAAAGTAACAGCTGCCCCCGGAAATGAAATTCAAATGTACAGAAAGGGACGCAGGCCGGCTTTGCGACCACACGCCGGAGCGCTTGGCAGCTCCTGGGGACACCTTCCCAGACCTTTAGCCGGTGCTCTGGGAAAGGCAGAGCCTCAGCAAGTCGCAGCGACTCGGCTCATTTCCGTCCTGACCGAGTCACCAGCTCCTGGCAGCTCCGGGAGTGTGGCAAGGCATCTGGCAGAGTTTCTCGAGGTGCCCCCTTGCCACCCCCCGCTGCGCGGCTGATGGAACTGAAACTGCTCCTCAAAGAAGAATGTTTCGCTAGCTCCACTTAATAGACCTGCTTTGTGTTATAGAGTCAGACACACTTAGCGATGCAAACAGACCCTAATGGCCCCCAACCGTCAGCGGTAACTAAACCATCCTCCTGAGAGGCGAGCTCGCCAGATGCTAATAACTGTCCCGCTCAGGCGAGCCAGCGGTGGGCCTGACAAGTGGGTGAGGAGCTCGCTTTCTTTCGGCTTGCACGAATGGGGCGCCCCCTCTGGCCGCGCTAGCCTGGGTGTGGCCGCCTGGGCCTGGCCCAACCCTCCGGACCTCCCGGAGGCGCCACAGGGTGCTGCCCCCAGGACCCCCAACGAGCCCCCTGTGGCAGCACTGCCTGGCTCGGTGGGTCACCCCAGTGGCTGCCGTGAGCTTCAGGTCAAGACTCAGGCCTGCCTAGAAGCAAGGCTGACCGCTCCTGGGGGGGCTGGTGGGGACACTTGGGGCACCTGGGAGTCGTGTGAAGGACAGAGTGGGTCGGATACGGCACCCCGAAGTGAGTGCCAGCCACCTCTGCGTGCCACTCCCTGACAGAGCTCGGCCGCCTGGCGCAGGCACGCGGGCAGGCCGCGGGTGTAGACAGTGGGTGTAGACAGCGGGTGTAGACAGGTGGGGCAGGAGAGCAAGGAGGCCGGAGTGGACGACGTTGAAGGGGGGCTCGAAGGGAAGGCCGCGGGGTCTCGAGGGAGAAGGACGGGGAGGCGGAAGGAGGTGGGGGGAGCCGGGCGTGAGCGGGCGGGGGTTCGGCATTCAGGGGGGCGTCTCAGGCGCGGGCCACCCGGGTCGAGGTGGAACTTCACAGGGAAGGCGAAGCGGGCGAGGGGCCGAGAGGCAAATCTTCCACTTGGGGCCCGTGCCCTTTGCGACTGAGAGGAAGTGACCACAGATTAGGAGACGATGACTTTGTGGTGGGCTACAGCCCCCCCGTTCTCAACCCCAGTGCAGCCACGCAGGAGGCACTGGGCTGACGGTAGACACTAGACGGGGCTGCGTGGTCTCCAGCAAGTGACTTAACTTCTCTGGGCCTCAGTGTCCTCATCTGTATAAGGGGGATAACAACGGTGCCCTCAAAAGACTGGGAGGATGAGGGGAGGGGGGAAGCTCAGGGCTGTGTGGGGAGGAGCAGGCGAAGGTTCCCCACTCAGGGGGCTCGAGAATTTGCAGTGCTCAGCAGCAGCAAATCCTGTGGCTTTTGAAAGAAGCTGAAGCTGCATCTGGGGAACAAAGTCAAGTTCAAGGTAGTGCTGCCGCCCATATGTTTTACTGGAATTATCGTCGGAGGGGGGCGCCAGGCTGGAAGGACTGGGGCCCCAACAACCTTTCGGACTTCGTGGTGCCCGTTTGCTGGCGTGTTCCAATGGGATTCTATATGCTGCATCTAGAGAATTCTGCATCTAGAGCACGCACTTGACCATGAGGTTCACCTTGCCCACTGGCCTTGAGCCTTCATCCAAGCCTCAGTTTGCACTGCATGTTTGGCCTCGGTCCAAGATTTCTATTGCAACGTGAACTTGGAGAATCTCTCCCAAGCACCCATTCAGAATTCAGTATTCTCAGAGAGCGAGTCCTCCACGCCCAAGACCCGGCCACCCGCCAGATGTGGGCCACCACCTGCCAGGAGAAGGTTCTCTCTGCAGCCTTGCCGCCGAGAATTCCGGACCCCGCCAAGGACCCCATCACTGGTGTTACTTGTTAAGGATCGAGCATCAATCAGCACAAGTGCAGCCCTGGCTCCAGCCAGGGGGATTTGCGGGCTGCGATGGCCTGGAACGGAGGCGCCCCTGAAGTGCAGGCCTCCCCGGGTCCTGTGGAGACCCCTCGGCCCCTCACTCACCCGGGCTCAGGCACACGGCAGTGCTGTCCAGACAATTAAGTCGCGAAAGGGAAGCTGCTCCGCTAAGGGCTGAGATGAAGCTAAATGAACTCAACTCGAATGAAAGAGACGCTGACCCTCCTCCCTCCGGCCTCATTATCTTAATTGACAGCTCTTGGCGGGAGTGTGGCTCACAGGCCGCACCGATGTGCTGGCTCTGCCGGACCCCCAGCCCTCCGAGCAGGCTGGCCCCCAATGCTCGCAGCCCTCCGAATTCCTTTCCGCCCTTCTTCCTCTAGGACAGCCCCGGGGTGTCCGAGTTGGGAGGGCTCCTTAGACCAGTGTTTCTCAGACCAGGCCCACCGACCACCTGCTTCAAAGTGCCTGGGATTCGGCTGTGAAGCGAACTTTCCAGCCTTTGCCAGACCCACGAAGCCTGAATTTCTAGGACTTGCTGGGGTGTCAGGAGTGTTGCTTTTTCCCTCATTTTTCCAAGGCGAAGAGATATTTATTGCAGGGTTTACGTACTTCTTAACCACGTAACGGGCTCAAAACGGTGCTGCCGTTTTCACATGCTTCTTCACGTGCCGCTCAGGAGGTTTCTGCGTGTGGTACCTGGCGCCTTCCTGCAGCAGCCCTGCCTGCTCACTGTGATTTTGCATAGCATGGTGACATTTTGGAAGGAATCCCTACGCCCCCTGACGGCAGAGCTCACAGTCTAAGTAACTGTAGGTGTTGCTTCTCGCCCTCTTTCTGATAGTGGCTTGGGAGCAGGCTGCCCTGGCCCTTCCCTTGCTCCCTCTGCCAGCTCTCGGAGACCTGGATTTCTGACTAGATGGCGCCGGCCTCTGACAGGGTCAGATGCTGCTCCCCACAACCTAAACTTTGGGAAAGCAGGTGGCCCGGGCTGGAGGAGCTCCCTCTCGGCCTTACTCACGCTCTCCCTGCTCTTGCTCCCGCTGGCCTCAGCCCCTTAGAGGTCACTTAGTCTTCTCTCGTGGATGTCCCTGTGTCCACGCCTGTTCCTCACCAGCTCGCTCGCTCGCGCTCTCTCTCTCTCTCTCTCTCTCTCTCTCTCTCTCTCTCTCTCTCTGCCTCGAGACCACTCTTGGGCGCTCCTCTTTCTGAGGCTTTTTCGGATCTTAAACGAGTAGCTGATTCTCGTCTGTAGACTGGATTTGCCCAGTACCAGTGTTCATTCACACTGCCTGCCACCCGGCTTCCTGCTCCTGACCCAGGACACCGGCGTGGGTGGGCCGTCCCCACCAGCTCTGTCTTCATGAGCGGCCCCTCCAGACTCCTGCCAACCTGCTGGCTCCCCTGGCTCCCCTGCTCACAAGTCCTGGCTCTTCATCTCTTAAAGTCTGTTCCAGAGATAAAAATGTAGTTACGTTACATCTTCTGTATTTCATAAGAAAACAGGTCTCCATAGTATCTTCGTAACATGACAAAACCCCCAATAATTTTCTTTAAAATCTATTTGTTCAGCTGACCTTACTCACCTCACTGTTAATTTTAGCCTCCCTGCTGTGGACTTGAAAATTCAATATTTTGGAATATCTATGGTTTGGGGCTCTCTTTCGTCACTCGTCGTGACCACAAATTCAAGGTCAAGCTACCCAGTTCAGAGGACGCATGGAGGACCAGCAGAGTCATCTGTAAAAAGACAGGAGTGAAACTGAAATATTTAATTCTGTTATTCTGAGCTGGTGTCTTCACTCCCCAGTCTCTGCAGGAACTTTTCTGTCTAGTTACAGCGGCTGCAAAGCTGGTAGCAACTTGGGGGCCAAATTAGCTCTTTCTTGCAAATACTGGCGGTTCAGTATCAGACCATGTTGATCCGAAGTCACTTCAAATCCTCATTTATGAAATTGAAGTTTCTATTCTCCTTCTTCTAGAACAGAGGTCACCAAACTATGGCTTTTGGATCTCAAAACCTAAAATCATTATCATCTGGCCCTTAACAGAAAACGTCTTCCAAGCCCTTTTGTAGAATATAAAATGTGGTGGTGGTTATCTCTATATGAAAGGTTCTCAGTGTGAGGTTGACAGGAATGGGCTTCAGGAGGTCAGTGAACCCCCTGAAATTGGGTGCAAAACATGGTTTACGATGCAAATGTGCATTTCCGGAGGAATCAGAGCTGTCATTGGGTTCTCAAAGGGGTCCATGACCTTAAAACAATTAAGAACCACGTAGAAAATGCAATCTAAGTGACACAGAGAGAGTGAGAAGAACTCTGTCTAGAGCAGACAACATCTGTCAACGGGCCTGTCCACGGAGCCAGTGGAACACAGGGCCTCAGAGAGCAGGCACATCTCAGGATTCCCTGAGTTCTAAGGACCCCTGTGCAATGCCTCAAGCTCAGACGCCTGTGTTTTTATTCCCCCTTCTCTGTAGGATCATGGGAGATCACCTTGACCTTCTCCTGGGAGTGTTGCTCGTGGCCAGTCCTGTGCTTGGAATTTCTTCCTGCTCCTCTGATGGTCGGATGGCCTTATATCGTTTCTGCAACCTCACCCAGATACCCCGGGTCCTCAACACCACTGAGAGCCTCCTGCTAAGCTTCAACTATATCAAGACAGTCACAGCCACGTCTTTCCCCTTCCTGGAGCGGCTGCAGCTGCTGGAGCTCGGAACTCAGTTTTCATCCTTAACTATTGACAAAGAGGCTTTCAGAAACCTGCCCAATCTTCGAATCTTGGACTTGGGCAAAAGTCAGATAGACTTCTTGCATCCGGATGCTTTTCAGGGACTGCCCCATCTGTTTGAACTTAGACTGTTCTCCTGCGGTCTCTCTGACGCTGTGTTAAAAGATGGTTATTTCAGAAATTTGGGGTCTTTGTCTCGCCTGGACCTGTCCACAAATCAGATTCGCAGCCTTTCCCTCCATCCTTCATTCAGGGAGTTGAATTCCTTGAAGTCCATCGATTTCTTCCTCAACCAAATACCCACAGTGTGTGAGCACGAGCTCAAGCCCCTCCGAGGGAAAACGCTCTCATTTTTGAGACTCGCTGCTAACAACCTGTACAGCAGGGTCTCGGTGGACTGGGGGAGGTGCATGAACCCGTTCAGAGACGTGATCCTGGAAACCCTAGACGTTTCTGGCAATGGCTGGACCGTGGACATCACAAGGAACTTTAGCAACGCCATCAACGGAAGCCAGGTTTTCTCCTTGGTTCTTGGCTACCACACTATGGGTTCTGGGTTTGGCTTCCACAACATCAAAGATCCTGACCAGAGCACGTTTGCCGGCCTGGCCGGAAGCTCAGTGGCACAGCTGGACCTCTCCCACGGCTTCATCTTCTCCCTGAACTTCCGACTCTTTGAGACCCTCGCGGAGCTGAAGGTTCTGAACGTTGCCCACAACAAGATAAACAAGATTGCACACGAGGCGTTTTACGGACTCCACAGTCTGCAGGTTCTCAATATGTCACACAACCTTCTTGGGGAGCTTTACAATTTTAACTTCTACGGACTCGCTAACGTGGCCCACATCGACCTGCAGAGGAACCACATCGGGATCATTCAGGAAGAAACGTTCAGATTCCTGGAAAAGTTGAATACCTTGGACCTCCGAGACAATGCCCTCAAAACCATTTATTTTATTCCCAGTATACCTAATATCTTTTTGGGTGGCAATAAACTGGTGACTTTGCCAACCATCAGGTTCACAGCCAACTTCATCCACTTATCAGAGAACAGGCTAGAAAGTCTGGATAATCTCTACTTCCTTCTCCAGGTGCCTCATCTCCAGATTCTCATTTTAAATCAAAATCGCTTTTCCTCATGTAACCAAGGTCGTGTCCATTCAGAGAGTCTCAGCTTAGAGAAGCTTTTCCTCGGAGAAAATATGTTGCAACTTGCCTGGGAGACCGGCTCCTGTTGGGATGTTTTTAAGGGGCTTTCCCGTCTCCAGGTCCTATATTTGAATAATAACTACCTGACTTTTCTCCCGCCAGGAGTATTTAGCGATCTGACTGCCTTAAGGGGACTCAGCCTCAACTCCAACCGGCTGACGGTCCTCTCCCCTGGCGACTTACCGCCTAACTTAGAGATCCTCGATGTATCCAGAAACCAGCTCCTGTCTCCTGATCCTGACGTATTTGCATCACTTCGTTTCGTGGACATAACTCATAACAAGTTCATCTGCGAGTGTGAACTTAGCGCTTTCATCAGGTGGCTCAATCAAACCAATGTCACTATATTTGGGTCTCACGCAGACATATACTGCATGTACCCAAACTCGCTCTCTGGGACTTCCCTCTACTCCGTGTCCACGGACGGTTGTGACGAAGAGGAAATCCTCAAGTCCCTCAAGTTCTCCCTTTTCATCTTATTCACCGTCACGCTGGTCCTGTTCCTCTTGATCGTCCTCACAGTCGTGAAGTTCCGGGGCTTTTGTTTCCTCTGTTATAAGATGGTCCAGAGGCTGCTCTTTGAGGACCGGACCCTGGGAAGAGACTCCGACACGTACACATACGATGCCTATTTGTGCTTCAGTAGCAAGGACTTCGAGTGGGTGCACAATGCTTTGCTCAGACACCTGGACGCTCAGTACAGCGACCAAAACAGATTTCACCTGTGCTTTGAAGAGAGAGACTTCATGCCAGGGGAAGACCACATCGCTAACATCCACAACGCCGTGCGGAGCAGCAGGAAGGTCGTGTGCCTGGTGAGCAGACACTTCCTCAGAGACGGCTGGTGCCTCGAAGCCTTCAGCTACGCCCAGAGCAGGGCCCTGGCCTACCTGAACGGCGCCCTCGTCGTGGTGGTGGTCGGGTCCTTGTCCCAGTACCAGCTCATGAAACACGAGGCCGTCAGGGCCTTTGTACAGAAACGGCAGTACCTGAGGTGGCCGGAGGACCTCCAGGACGTCGGCTGGTTTCTCGATAAACTCTCTCAGCACATACTACGGAAGGAAAAGGAAAAGAAGAAAGACGACAGCATTCAGCTGCAAACTATAGCAACCATCTCCTAGTCGAAGGAGCGGTTTCCGCCGACCTCAAGCCACAGGCAGCGCTAAGGTACCGTTTTCTGAAGGATTTTTTTTTCTCCTGCTATGAACACAGTATAAAGCTCTTGGTTTTCATGACAACACGGTGTCTTGTCTCGCTGACCTCCAAATGGGAAGTAATAGATCCAGAAGATTCTACCAATACCACAGAATATTTCTCAGTCGTGGGAAGGGCGCCTCGAGAGAAGTTACAGATGGCGGACATGAGGGTGGGCCAGGGACCCCCAGCTCGCTGTGCTCTGCAGAAAAACCCGGAGCAGAAAACGATCAGAAAAGAGGCACATTTCCCACTGCAGCCAGGAGCACAGAGCCAGTGCCGGGTGCAGGTCGCGCTCCGTCTCGGGGGCAGGATGTGGTCCCAGAGAAGCTGGGACGAGAATACCGAGATTTCTCACGGCCGTGGACGGTCTTGCCTTCGCCTCCTCCAGACCTAACCCTGTGAGTCATCACGGCGTGTTTTACAGGTGACCTTTATTTCAGCCTGGTGTCCGAGACCTTCCGTGATTTGGCACCAAACTCTCTCTGCTTTATTTCCTTTTTGTCATTTACCGACCGCTGCGGCTGCTATGGAAAGACCTTCGCCTTTGGACGCAGATCCTGGTTTGAGTTCCGGTTCTGCGGATCGTAGGCTCCGTGACCTCGAGCATGTCACACGCCCTCGCTGGACCTCGCTTTCTCATCTGTGGGCGTGATGGTATCTGCCTCGTACAGTTGCCGTAAAAATTAAATTGGCCAAGGACGTCAGGGCTTCTCGGATCTTGTTGTTAGCTGCTCGAGTGGCCACAAGAGGGCGCACGCACTGAGCCTTCTAAAGGCAGTCGGAATTTCTTTGAAATTGTATTTTTTTTAATCTTGAAAGAAATCTATACATAGTTTGCCTTCTGTTTCATTTTTAATGTTTAAGATAGCCATGTTTTTCTAAAAAATATTAAAATTAAAAGGTTTAAATTAAAAAATTTAAACCAAGATGTGCCAAAATTACCCCCTGGCTTCACACTGAGCCTCCTCCAAGCCCAGCATAGCCGGGGGTCAGCTGCGGCTCTTTGAGCAGTGCCCTAGGCCTGGCTCTCAGCACTCCCAAATGTCACTCCCTGTCCCTCATGGTATTCCCCTCATCCCAACTCCTCCCACACACACACACACACACACACGCACACACGTGCATGTGCGTGCACACACTCTCTCCGTCTCTGTCTCTGTCTCTGTCTGTCTCTCTCTTTCTCTGTTCTCCTGGCTTCTCTGGGCACCCTCCGATCTGAGTCTGAGTTTGCCCTGCATTTATTGTTTTTATATTTAAACAACGGCTGTGCCCATCAGCCCACACGCACAGCATCCCCTACCCCCCCATTCTACCGCTTCCTTCTGGAATGTTCTCCCGTCTCTGCACTTTTATCCTACTTAGTCTTCAAAATCCAGCCCACCAAGCTGCCTGGGGTGCCTGCAACCCAGAGTCCTCTCTCTCTGGGCACGCTCCCGGCACGCCAGCTTTTCCTTTAAAACAAGCACGACTTCCCGCCTCCTGTCTGGCTGCCCGCCCGTCTGGACTAAAGCTCTCTGAGGAAAGACCCTTTCTTCTGTGTCCCGCCCCCCGGCATTTGGAATTCTTTCTGAGGCCATTTTTCCAAGTCTCACTTCACGAGAGCTGCTGCAGACATGGCCAAAGCCGTGACGGGCAGTGCCACGTAGAGATGTGGGTGCCGGGCGGCCGGCTGACATGCTGCTTGTCCTGCGTTCCCTTCACAGCCTTTCCGAGTCAGGCCTCGGTAAAGGGCTAAATTCCAGAGTGTGGTCCTTCGGGGTCACTCCGAAATAGGAGGAACCACATCATTCAGCCTAAGAATGGCAAGCGCTTGCTGTGTTTGAAATTGAGACTATTCTGGAAAATCTAGACTACTGTGTAGGGATCTCGAAAACTTCAGAGAGGATCTGACTCATCGCCCCAAATACAACTGACTTTGAAAATTTCTTGTCTACCACTTAAATCTGTAGTGGCTAATATTTTAGATAGTCCTGATATAATATAAAGTAAACGTTGTTGAAAGTTTGAAATTATGAAATAACTCTATCGGGAGGACAGGAAGATATGCAGTGCAAGTGTGAGATAGATAAATGTTCACCAGCATAATATAAAATCAATATAAAATGTCTGGAATGTTAAATCAAGAAGTAGCATCCTGAGCGTGTATTGAGAAATAAAAAAAAAAAAAAAAAGCTGGAAGAAAGAACTACACAAATTAATGGCGACTGCCTGAGGGAATTCTGCCCAATTCTTCCACTGGGAACGTCTAGAAAAGCTGGAGAAACTATTTTTTAAATCTATTTAAAGACACTGGAGAGCGACAAGGCAGTAAATAGGGCCAGGATCTAGGACAAGAAGGGAATCAAGAGAGATGACAACATTTAAAGTGAGACTACTCATCAGAAAAGACCATCAGTGAGTAACAAGACAAACCACAGCACATAAAATAATACATATATCTGAGAAGAACTCATAGCTGAAATATGAAAGAACTACAAATCAATGAGGCAACACCGAAGAAAAATAGACCGGTGACTTAGGAATTTCACAAAGGTACACCAGTGTCTAAAAGAAAGAGAAAAGACAGTCAACCTTCTTTAGCCATCGGAAAATGCAAATTAAAACCACACTTTGTTGCGACTACATGTTCACCAGAATGGCTAAAATGAAAATGACTGACAGTGCCAAGTATTAGCGAGGATGTGCAGCTATTAAAACTCGCCTATGTTATTGGAGAGAGTGTCCATTGGTTTACTTTAAAAAACGGTCTCCTGTCATCTCCCGAAGTCGAATGCACACGTGCCCTATGACACCGCAGCTCTGCTCATGGCTACGCACACGCCAGAAATCCGTGCGCATATGGGCCAGAAGACAGAAACGTTTGTGGCAGCGTTATCTGTAGTAGCCAGCATTGGAGACATGCCACATGTCCGCCAGTCGTAAAATAGATTAAATAAATTGCGGCCACCGAAACCTATGCAGAAATGACACTTAGCCAATCATAGTCACGTGCAAAACAACATGAGGAAATCTCCCCAAATTATTAAGTCCGAGCAGGGAGGTATAACTATTACATACTGAGTGGTTCCATTTTTAAAAATTTCAGAAAGCTAAAACTCATCTATAATGATGATGAGGCCAATGGCTTCCTTTGGGGGGAGAGGGTGGGGTGTGTTGGGGGGAGGGGCTTCTGGAACGCTTGACATGTTGTTCCATTTCTTGACCTGGGTGATGATCACATGGGTGTGTGCACTTTGTGACAATATATTTTATCTGTACTGATTAATTTGTTCACTTATCTGTATGGTATTATTCTTCAACTGAAAAAAAATTTTAAGAAGGAGGCAGATTTTTTATTTAAGGAATTAAAGACATGTGGTAGACCAATTCATTTTACAGCTAACAGGACATCCCCACAAACACCTTATCTTTGTTAGGGGTGGCCTCTGGTCTATATGCTTTTCTTTCTAAGCCCCAACCAAAGGAAACCACATGAGTGATTGTGCTGGGGGAGGGGAGGCTAGAAAGATCGAAAGAGGCTGGTGGGACAGGGGACTGACTACAAGTCTTCGTTAGGAGTCACTGGTATTATTTAATGTCTAACTCTGTGTGCGTTTCATTAGTAATACTTTAATACAGACAAAAATAATTCATCGATATATGCACATATAAAATAGAGTTAACTTCTGCGCTTGGCAGAAGACAGAGAAAACAGAACCAGCCAGAATCTTAAAATTAAATCATCAACAAAGAACAATATTATTATTTCAACAGATGAATGATATATATAAACTTTTGCTCAATTTTATTCTTCTTAAGATTCAAGGGACTTTTAATCTCTTTTACTTAGTAATTAAATATTTTATTTCTCCATGGCCACAGTATCTTCCATTGAGATAGCCCTTTTAAGATATTGAATGATTTTATTTTGCAGACAGTTCTGTGGCAGGAACTCACTACGGGTCCTGTGGCTCTCTCAGGCACCACGGTCTAGGCAAGTATGACAAGGCAGCTTTGTTCTTGAAAGTCGGGGACCTGGTCCACCGGGCGGGGAGTCTTGTTTTTTTCCCCACTCGAGTACTTCGTCACCACAGGGCCTTGTTCTTCCATCTCCTCTCCTGCAAGGTCACCTCACCGAGACGTGACAAAACCAATGACATCATGTCTCATCGGGCCTCAGCCCCTTCAGGAAGCAGGTACTTTGGCACAGGAGAAGCTGGGACACTTTTCTGCTGTGCTGACCTGGGTTTGTCACTTGGGTAACCCTCAGTGCCTAACACTTGAGATTGCTTTTATGTTTTTTTCCAATGACCTTGACCATGAATGGGCTCCCGGCTCTTTCCCCATCGGCAACTGTGTTATAGGGCCAGCGTATTCCAGGCCTGTAGGTCGTGCCAAGCCCCCAAGGGATTTGCAAAATAAGTCGCCAGCATTTCTTTGTGTTGGTCCATGTGAAACAGGAGAACTTTTTTGGAGAAGGGACCAGGATCAACCAGTGGTGCTTCTAAGGAAGAAGGCGTAGGTGTCAAACGAAGGGGGAAAAGTTGGTGTGAGAGTCACTGGCTGGTGAAGGCGCCACCTCTAGCCTTGCTCAGGCCGCAGCTCCCAAATGAGCCACGGGGCAGGAGATCCCACTAGCATCCCCCCCAGAGACAGCCACAGAAGTAACTCTGGACTTGGAATAGGAAGACTCGAGGTGTCAGCCTAGCTAGCTGTGTGTTGTTTAACCGCTCGGAGCCTCAAGTTTTGTTTTGTTTTTGTTTTTTGCTGTTGTTGTTGTTGCTTTCCTCCCAGGATTAAAAGCTATGTGAAACAAGCAGCATAGCTCTAGCACACAATAAATGCACATGGACAGCTCGTGGGTGCAGGGGTGAGGCTACGCTGAACGCATGGACCCTCCAGGTTTCCCTGCGTTCCATCGGCCTCTGCCTCCGTCTCTGCTGGTTTGGATGTTCCGTTTTTTGCCCCTGAATCTGACCTCTGGAGGTCCAGGCAATGCCCCTGGAAGTCTGAGCAGGAAATCCCTGAGTTTTTTTTTTTTTTTAAATACACAATAAAATGAACAGATCCTAAGTGTACAACTTCAATGCGTTTTAACGATTGTCTACACCCATGTAATCACTCGCTACCTCAATCGAGATATAGAGTATTTCTATCACCCTAGAAAGTTCCGTCTTGCCCTTTCCTGCCAAAACCTACCCCTGCCCCAACTCAGATAATGACTGTTGTGATTTCCATCAACGTAGGTTAATTCTGACTGTTTTAGAACTTCACATGAGCAGAGTCATTCAGTCCTTTGCATCGGAGGCTGCTTGGCCTGTGACACTCGAGCAGATGGAGCCTGGATGTTGTGTTGCCAAGAAGTCAGGTGTCAAGGGCGTCCAGGAAGCTCCCACCGGCTTCCTGCGCAGCACAAAGGGATGGTTCTCGCGAGCGCTCCAGAAAGCAACCCCGATTCTCAACTCCCCAAGTCTGACTGCAACTTCCTCCAGAGAATAACGGCGTTTCCTCTTCCTTCCCCTTAGTTTCAGGGGTGCCTCTCATCTGCAAACCCTGACCAGGGACCAGGTAGGTAGAGGTTCAAGGAAATGCTTCTGGCTTTGCCTCTCTCTGCAGAGGAGGCCTTGGGGTGGGGTGGGCTAAGGCCGTGGTGATCTCGGACAGTCCAGCGCTCACTTGAAGGGTTGTTGCAGCCATGAGGGGGTTGGTGTCTTCTGGGTAGCATCTTCAGGGGGCCCCACGAAGCTGGGCTGTAGTGTGCTTGCGTCCCTACTGGATGTGTAACAATTTGACTTTGGTGCGGGTGGGCCTGGAGCGAATGGTTCTAGCCCACTGCGAAGAAGTAAACAACAT